TAAACTTCAAACTAAATTACAATTTGAAAATGCACTGATTATCTTATGTAAATAGAATAGTATAATACAATTTGTTATTATGCAAATCTACATATTTTATGTTTATATTCAAGCTCCCCATTACCCTTTATACTAAACTCATCCAAACAATTAGAAAGTTTTGGTAAAATATTCCTCTACGACAATCATCAGGTTCTACTCATATTAAGCGATAAACTCTTAAGCTACCTTGCTCTCAACATTAAAGATTTACCACAGTTTAACTTTGCTCTTCCAGCCAAGCTAGCCTGGGTCTTACTTAATCCTAACATTAAGCTCTAGATTCACCTAATGCATGCTAGATACCTTTAAAACTCTACACTAGTTAACAATGTTTTACATCCTCGTCATTTATTAATCTAAAAAAACATTTTACCTACTAGATATATACTATCTAAAGGGGCCTATAAAACTATTCTTATTAACTCGAACATCTAAACTTAAACAGAACCATCAGTACCCTCGTTTGCCTTCACTTCCTTGCTCCTATATAACCTTATGCCAACAATTTATCTGTCCCAACACCTATATATAGAACCTTCATATTTTATGCCAACAATTTATTTACCTTATAGCTCACCTTATCTTTAAGTTACCTATTGATCACTCCCCTGCAACCATCATTGTGTGGGCAACAGAAGTTTACCTTTAACTCAAAGTACACTGTTCAATCAACTTAGAACTCGATCACAACAACACACTTGCTTAAAATACTCACACAACATTCTTATATTAGTTGCTCTTATGGAAGGCCCATATCCTTCCTCAACATAAACTCTTATGGTGGTGCATCCTTCGTAAGAGTCTTTATTTTTTTCTACTCACAATTCTCTATTTTTATGATACAGCTTTTGTGGATAACTAAACATACTCGCACCATAACATATGGTTCTTGACTGCACCCTAACAAAATTACTATGGTATACCTCACCGCAAGGCATCCAAAATATAGCACATGCATGTAAACATAATGGAAGACTAGATATCTTATCTCTCAGCTCAAAGGTCAATCCCTATCTTTCACTATATTAAAAGGTTTTGTTCTATATATCTA